GAACAATCATTTCTTTCTTCAACCATTAACCTAAACCCCATTATAAGCCAAGCAAAAATCCTTTAGATCCTTTAAGTTCAAGACATTAAGATGATGATAATCACTAAACAGATAATAGCAAATCACATTCAATTTAGAAAAACTAAAAAGATTCAATGATTAAAAGCTTTCTTTTTATATTCCAAATACATTGCATCAAATTTTCACTAGTTACCCATGTGAGCTAAAAAAAAAAAAAGAAGGGGACAATTGTCATCCATTATTACAATCTTAGGAACAGACACCCAATGAATCCATCACCACCTACAAAATTAAGTGGAGAAATTAAAAAGAAAAGATATCAAAACTTATTTGTGATCCAGACACAACTTCATTACAAGAAAAGATAATGGCACGGTATAACTTGGATAAATACCTGTGTGGCATTTGTGTCCCAAACTTTTATATAATAATCATATGAATCAGTTATGAACAGCCCTATGTCAATAGGATACCATATGGTCGATGAAATGACAAATTTATGTCCATTTCCATGTTGCTTGTCAATAGAAAAAATACTCTTGTGCTTCGCAATAAGACCAGCTCCCTCATAACCTGTAGCACGTTGAATATCATAAACAACAGCTGATGCATCAAATGCAGCGAATAACAAATACCTTCCCTTTGTCAAATCAACCTGATAACATGATTAGAACATGCAAAACAAATGCTTCAAAACCTTAATTCTGAGATATTCATACCTATGATAGCCTAAATGTTAAAACATCTTATTTAAGGATAAATCCAATTGTGTTAAGCTCTGGATGAACAAACCAAGGTAATTCAAAATCAGAAATTGAACCAAAAGACTATATAATAGGATTTATTGCATTAGGAGGTTGCTAATTTAGCAATAAATACACAGAGCAGAAACATCAAATCTAGCTTAAAATCCAATGAATTCACAACAGAAACAAAAATGAAAAAGTAGTAAGACAACAAGTTAGAGTACTTGAAGGGAGTTGATGGTGCCTCTGTGAGGAGAGACCATGTCTTTGTGATTGGAGATTTGGAGGTCAGAAATACGATCAGATTTTATCCAATTCGAGAAGGAATTTGGGTTAATTAAGAAGCCCCTAGCCCACGAATTGCTCTCCAAGTCCAAGATTTAGGGCGCATGATTCCCAAAACGAGAAGAGAGAGCAACAGCTGGACCACCGACAAGGAGTTGAGGTCGAGGACGGCAAACTGCAATTTGAAATCGTAGGTGAAGCCCCCAGCCAAAACGAACGACGTCGTTTTGGCTAAGGAATCTTTTTTTTCTCCTTTTTAAATTTGAACATAGTGTGTGTACTAACTGAAATTTGGTGTACCGGCCGATACAATTTGGTGTACCGGCCGATACATCAAAATTTCAATCAGTACATTGAAATTTAATCAAAACCAAATTCTATCATATATTGTTTCAGCCAATATAAAAATTTAATACGTACCAATCATATTGGTCGGTACAAAATAGTATTGACAACATTGCTACAAGGTCTTAAGTTCAAAGTAGAAATTGATATAAAAAGGAAGATGATATTAGTGGGGTTGTGGTACATACTAACAATGCCATCTAAAAGGCCATCGATAAAGAAGGTGATTGAGATGTTTAAAGGAAGTGTGGAAGGTTTGCCAATTCCACCTAAACCTTTTTTTTCTTCTCCTCCAAGACCTCTTATTGATTCATCTGCCACATTAGATTGTAATAGTATATCATTAGTAGATTAATTTTGTGTACCTCTGGTTTATCACTTTGCGTCCAACATAGAAAGAATTTATAGTAATTATTGATACCATAAATTTGTGACAATACAAGGCTCATAGATAGTTCAAGTTTGGTTAATATGTTAGTTTTCCTTGTGTTTGGTTTAAGTAGGCTATTGGCCTCTTGACATGCCGAAGTTCACTAGCAAGTGCACCACTCAAATAATAAAATAATGAATAAAAAATCACTCTCATAGATATCATAATTAAATACCAAAAATAGTTAATTATAAAATTATTTGAACAAATAATTGGGAAGAATTTATAATTAAAAACTAATTAAAAAATTAACCATTTAAAATAAAATTTATCAATATATGAGATACTAAGATATTCAACTTCACTATAATCAATCAATATAGATTTCAAATTAATATGTTTTAAAGATTTTTACTACTTATGTGTCACAGCAAGATTTTTTATCATATTCGATATATATACTTAAATTATTTCAAATCTCTCTTTACCTATTGATTAATTATATTTCTATGTAAATTTAAATAAATAAAGATGTATCATTCATGAAATTTCTTAATTTAGGTAAAAACTTTCAAGTCCACTTATTATTAATACTACACAAATCATATTTGGTCTATCTTTGGCTTTGGTTCAATTTGTGGTATATATTATCTAAAATAAAAATGATTGTTATACCTTTTGATTTAACACACTTTTTTGACACCTATTTAGTTTAGCCATTAAAAAATAATATAAGTACAATCAATTCAGTCGATTCCTACATGTTATATGCGTAGTTGCATCTTTAAATTGCATCTTTAAGTTTGTTTGCATTTAATTTCACACTAGAAGATAATAATTTTTTCATAAATATATTGTGTAATGTATTAAATTAGATGGTACCAACTAATGTCTTATTAGAAGTTATTACATAAAATGCCTTCTTGGTTTTAGTTATGCTTTTCATGTTAATTTTAATGCTAATCAAGCATTAAAAAACCTTTTTTTATTTGAAGTTATATAATGAAAGATAATTCTCTTCTATCCTATAACTTACCCACAAATACGTCATACAATTCAAACTAAAAACCTTTTATTTTTATTGAAAAAATTATCACTAAACTATTTAGGTTGTTAATACTATTAAAAACACATTAAAAATAATAAGATATACTCATCATGAAAAAAAGGTAATATTATTGTCACATCTTCAATCGTTAATGTCACATCCTTTTATTTTAATTGACTATTATAACCTTTAATTTATTAAAAAACAAAAAATGAAAAATTTGAAGAAAAAGTATAATGTAAGAATATAATAAACAATTATATTAAAAAAATATAATAATAACCCCACCTATGAAATTGTAATCTCAAAACTATAAAAACT